AGGTGATTCGCAGTTTTCTGTTTCAGCCGCTTCTACCATTGAGGATGTTTGGACTTCTCACACACTCTGATTTCCCTCCAGGGAAGGCAACAGCGGTGTTTTAAAATCTTCCTGTGCTGATCTGTCTCCTTTTGCTGCTGTTGGTGCTCTCTGTAGCCTGCTCTGGGTCCCTGGGAGGCTGGTCCCTGGGGACTGACTCTTCTAGGTGCCCTTGACAACTGGCTTCCAGTAGCCAAGGGGACCTGAAGGTGGGAGAAGAAAGGAATATTGGGATTTTGCTTCCTCTCTTCTTTCCTGTGTTGCTAAGTCTCAGGTAGTTGTGGCATTGCTCCACAACTAGAGATTCTGCTGGATGGCCGCTCTTCCACAACTCACTTATCCCGGCTCCAGAAATTCTATTCCTCTTCTTTGCTCCTCTTGCCCTTGCTGCGGTCATGGCTGCCCGCTGCTGCCTGCCTCCATATCCCTCCTTCATTCCCTTATCTACACCGCTGAAGGAATTCTCTTATTAAAGTCTTATCTTTGGAACACCTTGAAATAAAGTCAGTCAGCTTCCTGAGGAGACCATGGCTGACATACTTCACCTGTCTTCTTTCCAAACAGGTAGGACTTGCAAGGCAGAAAGAAGAGAGGAGAAAATGCTGGCAGGGGAGAAAGAAACAGTATGGTTTTTAAAGACAAGACTTATCTCGATAATAGACTGAAATCTATCAGGAGTGTTCATCTTTGCAATAGATCCCCTAGTAAGATGTCATAACCTACTTTTCAACTTCTCTTTTAACCAAGACCAGTTTTGAAGAACATTTTATTAATTTCCATCTTTTGTTTTTTCTTTTCAAATAAAAAATGGAACTTATATTTACTGAGCATATTGTATGTGTTCGTAACTCAACCCTTAAGGTGTTATAAATTCCATTTTGGACAAGAAAAAACTGAGGCTCTGAGAGAGCAAATCATTTCCCCCAAATCATATAGCTAGCAGGTGGGGCAGCCAGAATCAATAATTTAGTATATATGATTTCACATGGAATATTGCTTTCTTTCATTATTGCAAAGTATTTCTCTTTGATTTGACTATAGTCTTAAGATGTTTTTGGCCCTCTGCAAAAAGAGCTTGTTATGCCTACACAGTTTTCATTAAAAACAGTTGACCTAATTGGCTTACTAATTTTTTTTGCCTCTCTTGAGCCTTCTTTATAGTTATAGGTAATGAATGAAAAATAGGTAAGCCCAAACGATGCCCTCAGTTGATGAAAACTGGATAGACAAGCACTAATTAATTTAAAAAGACAGCAAAAGGCACAGCTTAAAGGGCTCCCAGAGGAAACGGTGATCAGGAAGGAAAATATTTGACTGACAGAACCTTAGGGAACTTTGGAGCCAAAATCTGGACATATACTAGGGGGCAAGAATGAGAAATAGGGCTGAAACAGAGCTGACGGGAAAGAACGGATAGATATCTGTGACCCTTGATGATGTTTACATTTTAAAAATGGAGCACGGGAAAGATGATTGAGAAGTCTGGGTCTGTTATCAGGGTTTATAATTGTGTCTACTTTATGTAGAATGATCAAGAAGGAAGATAGCTATTTTTTCACCTGTCCCCAGCCCAACTCACATTCTCTCTCTGAGGGTGCCTGTGGCAAGGTATCTACCAGGTAGGCAAGAAACCAGAGGTTTCTCTCCTGGAGAAAGACAGTGGTCCTATGAACAGGCTTCCACACGAATTCTGTAATAAGTCCATAGCAGCTTTATTTACGTAACTCAGAACTGCAAATAACCCAAATGGTCCCACAACACGATACACGTTAAGTAAATTGCAGTATGTTCAGATAATGGGACGCTATCAGAAAGAGAGAGAGAAAGAGAAGAAAAAAGAAGAAACAAACTATCGATTACTTAACCTAATGTGAAAAATCAAAAGGTTAGTTGGCTTAGTGGTATTGCTTGGAAGGGGCACATGTGCATTTTCTAGGGTTAGGAAAATATTCTGCAGCTTTAGAGTGAGGTGGGCTACAGGGCGTGTGTGCATCAAGACTCACTAAAGCAACCACTTGGGGTCTGTACTTTCCATGGTATGTAAGGTATACCTCAAAATTAAAAGGCAAAAAAAAAGAGGATAAAATTCCCTTTTCAATCATGATCAGCTCTCAGCAATTTAAAAATAGAAGGTAACTTCCTTAACCTGATAAATTAAATATCTCTGAAAAACCTATAGAAAATACCACAATTTTAATGAGAAAATTTAGGAACATTTTTTATCAAAGGCAGCTAGAATACAGGGACACCTGCTAATATCTGTATTGGTCAATATTTTATTCACCATTGTGAGAAGACAAAGGAATGAAGACATAGCAAAACTCCCCTATACACCTTTTATTGTTTCTTAAAGCTTGTGACTGTAATACCTATTTGAAAATTAAATAAAAATATCAAAAGTAAATGCTGCTGACTTAGCTCAGGAAAAGTTGAGCTGTAACAATTCAAAATAAACACCATCCTTTTCTGATAATATCAGAAATCCTTTTATATAATACTTATATAAAACTTCCTAGAATATCTACAGACAGGTTATTTGATCTCTTTCTTTGACAAGGACACCAGTTCTATCAGACAAGGGCTCCCCTCTTATGACCTCATTGAACCTTAATTACCTCCCTAAAGGCTCTGCCTCTAAATAAAGGCATGTTAGGAGGTAGGACTTCAAAGTATGCATAGTTGAGGGGACACAATTCAGTCCTTAACAGTCAAATTTACAAGTTCATTATCTATTACATAAAACTACCCCAAAAGGTATTCTCTTAATATAATAATAACTCAGTGTTTCCTATGATTCTGTGGGTTGGCCAGGTGGTTCTTCTGATTCATGCGGTGTTGGCAACAGTTTTGCCAGTTTTCTCACTAGCACAAAACATGACTTACTATCCTTCCAGACTCCAATAGTAGTTCCCTCGCTGCTTTTTCAACTTCCACAAACAGCCTCCTTGCTGCCCTTCGAGCTCCCATCCACCAGCCAGTCCAAAGGCCATGTCATATGTATAGAACACCTCATTTTTCGTCACCATTTTCTCTTCCAACTAGTCTTTATTGTGGAATAAAACACCCCAAAGCTCCATGGCTTAAGTCAGCAAGAACGCATCACTCCACGAAACTCCGGGTCGGCCGAGCAGCTCTGCGGGGCTTGCGCTCAAGCTCCCGCACGCAGCTGCGCTCAGCCGGCCGGTCAGCGGCCTGGGTGCTGAGTGCGGCAGGGACCGCCGGGCTTCTCTTCCCGTGTGCTCTTTATCCTGGGCTTCATCACGCCATGGCGGTCTCCGGCAACGTTCCCAGGGAAGAAAGGCAGAAACTGTGTCACACTGTGTGCCCCAAACTCTGGAACTTGCAAGATGTCACTTTGGCCACATTCTATCAGATAAAGCGAAGAGCAAAGCCGGTCCAGATTCAAGCGGTCGGAAAAATAGACCCCACCTCTTGACAGAAGCTGGAAAGCCTCTGTGGCCACGTTTAATTTACCACAGAAAGCTATGCCATGTTCCTAGATGAAAAGACTCAATATCATAAAGATGTCAGTGCCTCCAAATAAATCTGTACAGTCACTGTCATACCAATCAAATCCCGACAGGGTATTTCAGGAAACTGGATAATGTGTTCTTAAATTTCACACGGGAGAGCAAAGGGCTCGGAATCACCAACACTGTTTTGAAGAAAGAACCGATCCTCACAGTTATCAAGATTTATTAGGAAACTATGGAAACAGCAATTTGAGGAGCAATTCACGGGAAGTCAACACTGCATACGGCAGGAATGGGATGTAGCACATCCCGAGCAGCTTTATGGAGCAATCTACCTTTATGATTTAGTAGCAAAAATATACAAATCTAAGATGTGCAAAGCAATTTTTTCCAGCTTCATTGAGATATAATTGACATACATAATATGTAGCATGTATCTCAAGATACAGGGTCTGGCAGAAGTAAGGCCTGCCTGAGTGTGGTTGGCAGGGTAATAATGTAGGTGCAGTAATTTAAAGTTTAATTTGAACATTTCCCCTAAAATGTCACATGATGTACTTGAGTGTGATATTGTTATGTTACAGAATTACCTGCTTATGATTTTGTAATAAAATATTTTGTAATAAAAAAGGGACGTTATTTGTGCTGGATCCTGTGTGTCTTTATATATTGTAAAATAATTACCACTGCAGCTTTAGCTAACATTTTCATCCTGTCACATAACCATCATTTCTTTTTTGTGGTGACAACATGTAAGGTCTACTCTCTTAGTAACTTGAAAGTATATAGTACTGTGTTAGGTCCCCAACACTATTCCTCTTACACCTGGAAGTATGTGCTCTTTAACCAACATCTCCCAATTTCTCCCACCCCCTAGTCCCTGGCAAACACCATTCTAGCCTCTGTTTCTATGAGTTTTGACTCTTTTAGATTCCACATATAAGAGATATCATGTATTGTAGTATTTGTCTTTCTCTGGCTGACTGAAGTCACTTAAAACAATGCCAGGAAAAATATGTTTCAGTATGCATCTCTATTGAACTCTCTCGTAAAATGCCCTTAGATATAGCCTTTTGCTTTTAGTAAGTTAAAAACTTTGTGTGTGCATATGTGTGTGTGTGTGTATGTGTGTGTGTGTCTGATTTCTGTCTCAATTTTTGAAGAATATAGAAGAATTTGTGCTTGATGAAAAGTTTAAACTGAGTAGATCCTAATGGTGTATATTTGGAACTAAAGGTAGTTTGAAAGTAAACATTATAGAATTCCAAAACCTGTTAGAGAATGGCAAATCTCTTGAACTCAAGAAGGAATGAAATGCCCTCAGGCAGTAGAAATGTTTTCTAAATCTCACCTACCAGCAGATTCCTGCATACATACACACATAAAATGAAAAGCCACCTATTATTTTATAAAACAAAAGCTGATGTTAGGGTAGGGAAGTACAAACTGAAGAAAATTGGAAGTCAATTGAATAGAAGCAATGGGCTTGTAGAGAAAGGAAAACACTCCATTCTGAGCAGAGTTACTTGGTGAACGCGGCCACCACCGCCCACAGGACCTCGTTGGTGCTGGCCTTCAGACTTTCCACCTCGGGATCCAAGTCGAGGAGCTGCCGCACTCTCTTGGTGGCTAAGTCATACTGCTCATCCAGAAGGGGAGCGAAAGCATTCTCCAGGACGTCTGAGGCATGGGCTAGGTAAATGAGGGCCAGCAGGCGCTTGTCCATGCGGTGAGGGTCATTCACCCACTTGTCAAGAACGGCTTCCTGGACCTTCCTGATGAGGCGCTGCTTAATGTTGTTGTTGGTGAGGGGATGCGTTGTCATGTCAAAAAGTAGGAAGTTCTGTTTCTCTGTTGTCAATACGCCCTTTTCTACCAGGGTCTCAATCGTTCTTCCATGTTTCATAACTGATACTGCAATTCTAGGGGACTTATCTCTCCCCTGAACAAAAGCTTTGAAAGGTTAGGGAATAATCTCAGCTGTTATTTTCTTTGTACTCAAGATATGAATAGCAAAACACGTTCATTGTAGCTGGTGAGTTTCTAGAGGAGTGGCTACAAGAAGTCTTCCACGGCAGCCTATGTTCCCCGAACATGGCCCTGTTGTGGGACAGGAATCATGTTTTATTCATCTCTGTAGCCCTGGCTCCAGGTATTTTCCTGGAACATAGTACTTGCTCAGTACATGTTTGGAAAAGAGAATGAACAGATAGCAGATAGTTTTCATATGACAGAAATGAGTCAAATTGTAAAATGATAATTTCTGATACATTTCTATTGACACAAAGCTGTCAATAAATAGCCAAAGGATAAGTGAGAGGGGCTTATTTATTTTTATTTTTTAATAAATATTTCAAAAAATTTACACAAAAGCTGTGAAAATAGAGCCCCATGCCCAGTTTCCCCATTAGTGTGATACATTAGTCACAATGAACTGTATGGCAACATGACTACTAACTGAAGTCCATCCAGGATTCCTGTTTCCTTAGTGTTTGCTCAGTGTTCTTTTTCAGTTCCAGGGTCTCATCTAGGCTACCATAATACCTTTACTCATCGTCTCTCCAGGGTTCCTCCAGGCTGCAGCGGTTCTCCAGGCTTTCCTTCAGAAATGACCTTGACAGTCTTGAGAAGAACTAGTCAGGCACTTAGAAGATTCTTCCTCAGTTGGGACTTGTTTAATGTTTTTCTCATGACTAGACTGAGGTTATAGGTGTATGGGAGCAGACCACAAAGTGTATATGCTATCAACATGGTTTATCACTGTTGATGTTGACCTTGATCACCTGGCTGAGGTGCTGTTTGTCAGGTCTCTCACCGTAAAGCTCCTCCTCCTCCCCACACCTTTCCATTCTGTCTATTCCTCCATGAGACTGGGTCCAACAACCCAGCAGGGCTCTTGGAGGAAAGTCACCATGTGTAGCACACACTTCCTTGAGAGTGAGGGATTTGTATAAATCATTTGCGATTGAAAGCTTCCTTTTTCATTATGAATTAAATTGAGACTGTCATTAAAGATGGATGGTTGAATAAATACCCTGTGCCTGATGAAAATGAGAGTAAAGGACTTTTATAGAAGCACAGATCCATAATGAGATCAGGGAAGGAAACAATAGCAGTAAAATTTTGGATGCTGCAAAGCAGTTGGAAGAGTGGTAGATGGATTAGTGGGTCCAAGAAAGCTAATCCCAAAGTGGCAGTGGGCAGAGCAGGGAGGTAACCTACTCTTACAGTGGAACCCCAAAGGCACGGGAACTGGCACCAGGTAGCTGTCGAAAGAGGGGAGGAGGAGCAGATAATGGCACTGTTAAAATTACACAGGTTGTTTGAACATTTATTTAAGAAGCATCTCCAGATCTTTTCTTCTCCTCTCTGCAGCTGCCCCAGTAGTAGAGAATAAGACATAGAGTCTCTTGTTTCAGGGACACAGGCACAGTTGAAGGAGACAGGGATCTCCCACTGAAAATGGGGATTAAGTAAAAGTTCACGTCCTAAAATTTGTGACATCTCAGCCTTCCCCTTCCTCTCAACTGTGGGACACTGGAAATTAGGACTGCGTCCTCCAGGGAAAACACTGAAGGGTGTTCTCTGGAAATTTCCATCAGCCCAAGAGAAAAGGATGCAAAACACTGACATGAGGATATCCCAAGAGAACTAAAATAAAGCCCTCACTTCACCACTCCCTCCCACCCCACACACATACATCTTCCAAAGGACTCTTTGGCCTTCCTGCCTAAATGTGAGCAGGCTGCCAGAGAGTGTCATACATTTGGGGAAAACCCTCTAATGTGAAACAGTGCATTCAAAATAAAATATTAAAATAACAAAAATATGTTGATCATTTCTCCAAGGTGTAAACAACCCAAAAGTCTAGTCAACTGGTAAATGACAAAGCTAAATCGACACAATGGAATACTCTACAACACTAAAAAGGGATGAACTATTGACACATGGTACAACGGGATGACCCTCAAAAACATCACATGAAGTGAAAGGAACAAGACACAGAAGAGCACATATTATATGACTATTTACATAAAATGCCTAGGAAAAGGTAAATGTATAGAGAGAGAAAGCAGATTATGGCCAGATTGGGGCTAGGGTTTGGGGTGGAGCTGACCTGCAAATGGGCACAAGAGATTTTTTTGGGGGGATGCCAATATTCTACAACTGAATTGCAGTGATGGTTGGGTGACTCAATAAATATATTAAACATCAGTGAATTGGACACCTGAAATGCATGAGTTATATGGCATATAAAATATACTCCCAATAAGCCTGTTTTTTTTTTAAATAAAGGAACTCAGAGGAAACTCAAACTATGGAGGGAGAAGAAAATAGAAAAAAGTCATTACTGTTCTCAGAAAATTAAGAGAGGATAATATATCCATCAAACAGGAACAAAATGGTAGATTTAAAAAGAACATTCAGAGAATAACGATAAAAACACTAAGAAAATAAATTTGGACGGTAGAAATGAAAAACTCAGTAGAAAAGCAGGTGAAATAAGGAATCCAAATTATAAAGCAAAATGGCAAGTAATGGGACAATAAGAGAAAGTTTAAGAAATTAGTTGATCAATGCAGGAGGCTTAATGGCTAAATAAGAGGAACTCCAGAAACAGCAGAAAAGAGTGGTGGAGAAAAGTACTAATAAAATAACATAAGAGAATTTTCCAGAGCTGAAGAACATGAGCCACTTCACAAAAAGGACTTTTGGGTATTCAGTCCAAAGAATAAAAAACAAACAAACAAACAAAAAACCCAAACAAACAAAAATCCCAACAAACAATTAAAAAAGCAACAACAAAAGACTGATTATCTGGACATTTCAAGACTCTAAAGAGAAGACTGAAAAAGCATTTGGTGAGGGTGAGGAGAAGGGTGGGGAAAGCTAATGAACAGAAGATTGTGAATAATAATGGGATCAAATTTCCTGAAAAGGAAGTCGATAATAATGGACCTTCAGATTTCTAAGGCAAACTTGTTTTTTAACCAAGAATTCTAAATGAACTTCCCAATCTCCTTTTTTAGGAAGCTATATGAGGATGTGTGTGTGCGCGCGCACACACACACACTCACACCAAAGGACTCAGCTTCGAAGCAGAACATTGAGATCCTGGGGTAGATGGGACTGGGTATTCAACTGAGGCAAAGAGAATTCCCAGGGGGATGGCAAATAGAAGTCCCCGTCCAGCAGAGGGGCCAGGGGCCCACAGCAAGCCATCTAGATTGCAACAGAAGGCACTGGATCACTCTTCAATTATCTAACATGCTACAGAGCTGTCAAGGATGTGGGAATATTTAGTCAGATGTTCAAAGAAAATTAAGAAAATGTTTTAAAGTGAGGCAATGATTAACTCCAGAAAAAAACAAGTTACGTAAGAGAGGATCTATCATTACGCTACTTGGCTCAAAAGTAAATGACATACTACCTATACATAGTCAAACCTTGGAACACACCGAATATAGATTTAACAGCTTTTTGAGATACAATTTTATTGAGAAGATAGTGGAAGGGAGAGAGGGCATATAAATGAGCTAAAATCCTTGTTATCTGTAATTGGAAATCAATAGGTAAGTCTATTCAGATGTGCATATCACACAAAAGGGGTCAACTTAGAAAGAGGACAGTGAGATATTGGGACACATAGGACTGGGGGTCCAATAGAGGCAAAGAGAATTCAAAGGAATGGCGGTATATACATAAGTGTATATATATTATTTAGAAATAAGAAAGTAAAATCAGAGAAAATAGCTAACAAAGTTGAGATTAGTTACTTGGTGAACAATGGGGGTAGGAAGGTGGACAGAAGGTGCTGTTATTTTGTAAAAACTATTTTTAGCAACAGTTGATCATTTATGCTCTTCAAATATAGCACTTTGATAAAAATGAAAATTGATTAAAAATCATTATTGTAGCCATTATATTGAATGCAAGAATGTATACTTGAAATGACACAGTAACAAGAAATATAGAGTTTTAAGTTATAGTATTAATACTCAGCTTAATATACTTAAGATTTTATTTAATCATATGAATTAATACCAGAAGAAGATATCATTTGGGAAACCCATTTTGCTCTTTATGATTTGCTTTGTAAAATTGGAATTTGAAAGTTGTGATAATTAATTCATGAAGGGTTGAGGTTTATTAATATTTAAATCCCAAGTCCATATTTGAAGCAAAAAGAGCTTTATCAAATTAAAAAGTGGCTAATTATTCCTCTTTGAAGAAAAACATTACAATTTGCATTCAAATTCCTTCCTTATCTTTTTAAAGGGAAATAGACAGCATTGATTTTAGGCCTCATTATATTTACGATCCTAAGAGTTTGTAAAAGGAAATTATACCCAAATGATAAATGTAAGCCTGATTACTTCTTGCTTCTGGGTTAAACGAATGCGCACACACCGGACATAAACATTAAGAAATCGGCAACCGTTATTTCATCCACCTGCAGTCTGAGCACAGCAATGGGATGGACACCTCCCACCTCCAGAAACATTTACTTTGTTCCTGGTATTGGCTGTAGGAAAATTATAATTTGGTGCCCCTTTATGCAACTAAGTATAAAAGGACATGAACAGGGAGAGAACACAGTACTACAAGAATAGAGAAGAATCAGAATTTACAGGGTGTCTGTGGACAGAATATACTGGGAAACCTCTCCAAAGGGGACACTGTCTCACTTTGACTCGGAGAGCCGGACAAGCCAAGAGAGCGGGGCTAATGCCCCAGGGCAGAGGGAGCAGCAGGTGCCAAGCACCCAAGACCACGGGCAGGTACAGTGAGGTACACAGAGTACCTAGAAATCCTGCCTTCCAAGGCAGTTCATGTCTGGCCCCTTGTTACCTGAGCCTGCACCCATTCTCCCAAAGACACCCCACTCACAGGGAGGAGAGTAGGAGCCTGGGGTGTTGCAGTAGAACTGGATGCATCTGGAAGGAGGCCAGGGAGGGCCATATAGAACAAGGAATGGCTGTTTCATTTCTAGCACAAAGAAGAATGCATTGTTAGCACATTCAAACAAATGAGTGCTCTGTGGATAGTGCTAAATTTAAAACTCTTGGACAAAAGGGTTTTCTTCAAGTTCCTGATTATTTAGGTTAATGTGAGAAAAGACTTGGCAAACAATTTTTATATGCAAATTGGACATGAGATGTTCATTCATTTAACAATTAATTTTTAGGTGCCTGCTATGGGCTGCTGTTAGTGTTATAGGCCCTGGGAACAAAAGTAGTTCTTATGCTCGTGACATGTATTCTGTGGCTTCTTTTCATTTATGGTTCATCATTCTGGATTTAAAAAAAAAATCCTCACTTGAGGATGTGTTTACTGATTTTAGAGAGAGAGGAAGGGGGAGAGAGGAAGCGGGAGAGAGGAAGGGGGAGAGGGAGAGAGAAATATCAACGTGAGAAACAACAATTAGTTGCCTCCCATATGTTCCCCTATCAGGGATTGAACCCACGACCTAGGATCCAACCCACAACATTTTCGTGTACAAGACGTTCCTCCAACCAACTGAGCCACCCAACCAGGGCTATCATTCTGGATTTAAAAAACATCATTGACAGAAGTCAAATTAAAAATTCATCAGGCCAATTTAAGGACTTACCAACAATAATCATGAAAACTTAGGTGTAAATATGATGAGATGATTTTAAAAAATTTACTAGAAGAAAATTTTATCTTTGTCTTTAGTATAAAAATTGAGCCTTTTTTTTTTTTTTTTTTTTTGATAAATCTGGTAGTCTAATGCCACCTTGTGCCCAAAGGACTTAATTACGTAATTTAACAGTAAAGATTCTCTGCTAGTTTCCTATTGCAGCTGCAACAAATTAGTGCAAATCTAGTGGCTTAAAAACAACCCAGATTTATTATTTTATAATCCTGGAGATTCTAAGTTAGGAACGAATCTGAACGAGCTAAAATGCAGGTGCGGGCAGAGCTGTGTTCCTTCAAGGCCCTGCAGAAGAGTCTGTTTTCAGACTCAAAAAAGAGTCTTTTTTGCATCTTCGATAACGTACCTTTGGAATGCCGGAGTCATCCCCTTTTGCAGACCCCTCAGGGCACAACCTCCCACCGGACCAGGAGACCACAGAGCCCCTCATTTGGTTCTCCCCCATGCCAGCTCCATGCGCTGTAAATGTTCATTGGTAACTGTCCTGTACCTGCCCACGTAAAGGAAGTGTGTGTCAATCTGTTTGACTTTTTATCCAGCCCCAGAGATTTCCCCACTTTGCGTTCTCCCACCACCCTGATTTATCACCAGTGGATTTCATGTCCCCTACGTCCCCCACCTCTTTGATTCTGATGTATAGAGTAAGGCGCAAACTGCCATTTCCCAGAACATTTTCTGAGTCCGTGGAGACTTTGCTTCCAGGCAATTGTCATCAGTTTGGCTCAAATAAACTCATAAAAATTCTCAACAGGGATGGACATTTGACAGGTACATCAATGGACTGCAGGTAGGATGAGGAAAAAAAACAACTGCAAATTTATTTTTCTGATATAACGTTTTTAGCAGCTGTTCGCAGGACGTACAGCAATGCAGGTCTTTTCAGGGCGCCTGTAAGGCTTCTGTCCAGCTTGAGGGAGGCTGCATCAACAGACGGAAGTGCCCCCACCACAGCCTCCTTCAAATGAAAAAGAGAAAGGAACATGGAGAAAAAGGGCCTGGTTTTCAATACTCCACTTTATATTCGTTGCATTCAGTTCTGCTAACGTGCCCGCATCTTGCCGTCCTACTTGGCACAAAACATTACATGCTCGGAAGCAGTGCAGATGAACCGATATCATTTCCATGGTATACTGACCTCATTTCCCCACTTTCTAATCTCCCATGAGCTAATCCACCTTAAAGCATTATTGCAGAATAGGTGATATTGAACTTGCATGTGAAATGGTTAGTTAAAATGGAATCATGAAATATAAGAGGAGAAAAAGTCAGTATTTAAATATCCTTAACATTTCCACAACTTAAACATGACATTACGATATGACCCAGCCATTCCGTTCCTATGTATATACACAAACAAAAAGCAGGGACTCAAACAAATACTGATCCACTGATATTCACAGCAGCATTATCCACAATAGTCAAAAGGCAGTGTCCATCAATAAATGAATGGATAAACAAAATGTGGATGTAGGCACATAACAGGATAGTAATCAGCCATAAAAAGAGATGAAATTTTGACACATGCTACAACATGGATACACCTTGAAAACATTATGCTAAATAAAATAAGCCAAATACAAATGGACCAATGTTGTATGATTCTATTTATATGAGGTACCTAGAATAGGCCAATTCATAGGGACAGAAAATGCAATAGAGGTTACCAGAAGCTGGAAGAAGCAGGTAACAGGGAGGTGGTGTTTAATGAGCTCTGAGTTTCTGTTTGGGATGACAAATTTGTTACTGTTTGGATTCTATTTTGGGTTCTCCTCCCACTTGATTGATTTGAATAACTTATTTTTTGAATATGTGAGACATTTCTACTGATCTCAGAGTTAAATCTACACAGACATGGGAGTGCATAGCAGTGTTATTTACAATAGCCAAAATCTGGAAACAGCCCAAGCACCCATCAGTAGCTGAGTGGATTAAAAAGCTGCAGTACATTTATACAAGAAATACTATGCAGCTGTAAAAAAGAAAGAAATCTTACCTTATGAGACAGCATGGATGGACCTGGAGATTATTATGCTAAGTGAAATAAGCCAGTGAGAGAAAGACAAATATCATACGATCTCACTTATATGTGGGATCTAATTAACAAAATACATTGATGAATAAAATAGAAACAGAGGTATGGACACATGGAGCAGACTGACAGCTGTCAGAAGGGAAGGGTTGGGGGACACTGGATGAAAGAAGGTGGGTTAGCCAAAGAATATATATATATAAAACTCCTGGACACAGACAACAGTGTGGTGACGGCCAGAGGGAAGGGGGAGAGGGGACAGAGATGATGGGGGGCAAAGACAGGGGAAAATGGGGACACATCTGCAATAGTGTCAACAATAAAAATAAAGGGAAAAAAAGCTACACAAGAGATGTCTCAGAAAGGTGTCCTTCTGTCCTTACCTCTATCCCTGCCTCCTAATTTTCCCCTTCCTTCACCCCTTTGCTACTCACAAGCTGTTGGAAGCCAATCACTTTAGTTTTTGTTTTATCTTCCCTGTATATCTTTAGCACAGGTTAGATATGTGTATTTTCTTATATAGCCTTCTTGCTTAAGTGAAAGGTAACATGCTAAAGATGTTCTTTTGTACTTTGCTTTTTCTCCCCACACCCTCTTCTTCCTTTTGGCTCAATTTGGTTACATGCTGTGTCTCGGATGTGCTTAGTAGTCAGTCTTCACATCCTGGTGCATTTTGTTTTTGTTGCCGTATCCCAGAAAGCCCAACCGTTTCCCATACCTCCTTCCATTAAGCTACTTTCAGCATTTTTAAAGGGTAAGATTGTAATCTTACTTGTAGTATTTCTTTAGTAAGGGTTTAATTTCTCACATGTTGCAATGCCAGTATTTCATACTGGATTATGCCTTATAAAAATGTCTCGTTATAGAATTGCATAGGCTTTGCGTGGCCTGCTTCAACACTTTCCCCACATAAACCCTGTAATTTCTAGTGTGCAAGTTTGCAGAAGATGAGGCCTTTGCAAAAAATTGTTTACTAGCAGAAATGCCTGAATCGGTGGTTTCATCATTACTTTTTGAGTCTTCAAAAACATTTGAAGAGGACATCATTTTCAATTCTATCTAAATTTTCAAGAGAGCACAGTTTTGATTTTGGACGTGATGCTGTGACTGGACATTGCATTCTAAGCCAAGTACCTAGTACTGTTTGTTATCTACTCAATATAACTATTTAACTACATTCATTTTTTAGTGCTTTTAAAAGATTTTATTTACTTATTTTTAGAGAGAGGGGAAGGGAGGGAGAAAGAGAGGCAGAGAGACACCCATGGGTGGTTGCCTCTTGAGCATCACACTGGCTTGCAACCCAGGCCTGTGCCCCAACAGGGAGTTGAACCCGCAACCCTTTGGTTTGCTGGTGGCGCTCAACCCACCGAGCCACACCAGCCAGGGCTTGAGTGTCTTATTTGTGATATCTTACAACCATGAAGCCATTTCAGAATAATTAGTAAACCTGTGTAAATTTCTTCATGTTATTTAAAAAAAATCAATTGTATCCTATAAGCACCCAAAATCGTTCAAACTCTTATAATGCAGGAAATTCAAATCAAGAGGTTACTGCTTAATAATCAGTGAGTCATGGCTGAGCTTTGTGAATGGGAAGTCGTCACCAGGTACAGAGGGAAGAATATCTAAAGGAGCTGGTGATAAGGATGCTAATGTTATTGCAGACAAGTGCAGGGCTTTTAAATTCTGTCTCTACAAATAACTCAAGGATCTCACTGAAACACAGATTTTGGTTCCATAATTCTGGGGAGGAACCCGAAAGTCTGCATCTCTAAAAAGCTCCCAGGTGATGCTAATACTGCTGGTTTGGAGACCACGTTTTGATGAGGAAGGTTATAGATGCTAAGACTCTAGACACCGTTCAACAGAGCCTTCTGCAAAAATGGAAATGTTCTGTATCTGTGCTGTCCAGTGAGGTAGCCGTAGGCTACGTGTGGCTACTGAGCACCTGAATTGTGCCTGGTGAGACAGAGAAACTGAAGTTTAAATAAAATTAAATTAAAATTAATTTAAATGCAAATTTAAATAGTCACATGTGGCTAGTGACTACTGTCTTAATGAACATCAAACAGTATATGCATCTCTACGATTGACAGCTACCTCCAAATCGCCCTCCATAGAGGCTGTGCCAATACACGCTCTCAGCAGGTCTACCAGCATGCTGCTTCCCCGCGCCTTCAGCAACGCGGCATATGCTGTTTAAAATTGCTTGAAAGGCAGATAGACAGAACTGACATCTTAATTCCTGCTCTGACAGATGCTATTGGTGTCCTACCCACTAACTTTATCTGCAGAGCCACAGAGTACAGTTTCTGCATATTCTGCCCATATCCAACCGGTGTCTGGATCTTTCTGCTTCTCCTCCTGAGTCATTTTGAGGTGTCACAGAGCTTGCTATGCCCAGGCAAGGGTGGGCTCCCCCGGGTGGCTGGGAAGTAACAAGATATCAAGCTGTCAGATGCAACTCTCGACCAAAAAGGAATGGGAACCAGTGGATAAATACACAAGTTTCCCCATCCCTCAGTGGGCCAGTTCTTGCCAATTCCTCAGGCTGGAATTGAGCTCTTGCTGACTATGGCACTTACCTCCTCTTTGATATCCCTTTACTGACTTTTCTGCTTCCTTATCTCATTTTCTCCACTCCCTGGCTTCCTATATCACCTGCCAAATAAACTATATGCATACAAATTCTTGCCTGGAGATCTTTTTTTGGGGGTGGGGGGTGGGGGGTATGCAGGGGGACAAAACTAAGATAGATGGTACCAGAGATGGCCATAGAAAGTCAACCCTCAAGAATTTGCTCACTTCCTGGTCAGGGGGCAGCAAGGACCTCACTCTTGCGCAAAGAGGGAATAGTGATGACCCATGGCATGCTGTAGCATCACATTGACTAAGACTTTCACCTATGATTGTTTCGGGTGAGGTACAGGGACTGCTTTAGAGAACAGCCATAGCTCTTGAAAGACATGGGGTTATGGTAGTGATAAGGATTGTAGAGGTGGATGATGTTTAACTTTCCTGGAAGCCTTGAAGAAAGAGTATGGGATCCCAGGTCAGCCAACTCTCAACTCAGGGCGTATTATGAAAGCCAGGAAGATTCTCTGGCCAAATTTAATCAGACTCTCTCCTCTTGCAGCAGGAGGGAAGCCTATGCTGAATATTAGCCTCAGAAAACAAAAATGGAAACGCCAGAGCTGTGGATACCAAATGCATAGCCAGAACTGGTGCTCTGTGTTACTGTCAGGATTGTGAAACCTGAGCTGGTTACATTTGGGCGGATGCACTACGCAGTCTTAACCCCATATAACTGACTGTTCCGGCAGGCATGCTTATTTATAAAAAAGGCCTTCCCTTTTCTCCTGTGTCTTCTAACAGAGTTGTTCTTACCTTTCACTTAAATGAGATTCAACTGTAATTTATTTTGTTGCAAGGAGTGAATTGGGAATCCAACTTAATCTTTTTTAGAAAGCTATCTAGATCTGCAGGATCATTTATTGTATAATGCATCCGTCTCCACTGATATAAAATACCACCCTGATTATATGTTTAAATTCCAGGATGAATTTGGATCTTATGGGCGAAAATCCTAGGTATTTGCCAAACCTATTCCCTCTTTTTTATTTTTTAAGATTTTTATTTATTTACTTTTAGAGAGAAGGGAAGAGAAGGAGGGAGGAAGAGAAACATCAATGTGTGGTTGCCTCCCATATACCCTCTACTACAACCCAGGACCTTGCCTGCAACCCAGGCATGTGCCCTGAGCAGGAATTGAACCGGTGATCCTGTGGTTTCCAGGCCGGCACTCAATCCACTGAGCCACATCAGCCAAGGCTTTTCCTTCCTCTTTCTGGGCCCACACAGCTTCCCAGCTTCCATTCCTTGGTGAAACGGAGCTCCTCTCCGGAGAGACTTGGGAAGGCACACACTGAGGACGACGGAGCTGAAGAAGCAGGGAGCAGGAGTCCCAGAGTCCTTGCTTGGAGGAGGACCTGACGAGCAGGAACTCGTTTTGTTGGACTATA